TCTACTTAGTCTATCCATTCAATAAACCCTATTCAACATACAGTAATATTTCAAACAATATTCTATCAAATTTATGAGTAAATGCTACTTATGTGACACCATTACCAGTTCAAATAATTCTTTTCATGAAACTTAGTATTCAACTTTAGTCATACGATTAACAAATGATCTACTAGATCAACTTCATCAAGGTCATAACCTGCTACATGTGCTCCAATTAGTTGATCAAATAAAGAAAAAATCAATTAACTAAAATCAGATTCTCCGTTTACATTTTGTCAAGTTCATAAAGGTCACTAATATTAGATTGTTCAAAAATGAGTTGATATCAAAGAGCTTAGATATTTATTAGCTATTCCAGAATGCTTTGACAAGCTCAAAAATACGACAATAATACCGAAAAGAGAAAAAAAAAAAAAACTACTAGGAATAACTTGTCTCAAATTAAACTTAGTACTCTTTGACAATAATGTGTCAGGACCTTGTTTAAACAGACTTTATAGGGCATATCTGTACTTTAAATAAAAATTTAATTTAACCCAAGGCATGGTCAAATTTTCTCTCTCAGCGAAGAAGCATGGTCATAGAACTAGAAAGGAGATCATCAAATGTTATAGGGGAAAAGAGAAAGAGAATGAAAACAAAAGTAAAATAATGAGATGGAAACTTTAATAGTACAAAGAGAACATACAAATGAGAAACATTGAACTTCAAAACATCATTTCCCCGGCTTTGAAATGCAGATTTCAAGACTTTAGAGAACTCCAATGGATTATCAACTTTTTCCTGTACAAGTTCTATAAAAGATTCTGCCGTTCCTAAGCGAACCATTGATAAACTGCTTCCTGATTCTGAGAGCAAATCCCTTATCTACAGGAACAAGAAAAGGGTCTGAATCAGAAAATTTTGATGACACTATAAATAAAAACCAGAAGATAATAAAGATAAGCAATGGACAGGAAGTGCAATGATTGGTTAGTGATCGAGGGGAATAAACCTGCTCATTATAGAGCTCAAAAACTGTAACAGAGAATTTGAATCGAGAAGTTGAAGTTGAATCCGAGTTAGATAAATCAAACAATTCCTCAAAACAGCGAGCATACAGACCACGATCGTGGCTTGATCCTTCCTGGGCAAATCAGAAACATGTCAGGAAAGCAAGAGACTTCACAAAAGAATGAGGCCCTGCAAAACCTTAAAGCACCAGCAGTAAAGCACAAACAGCCAGTTCAACCGATGTGATGATCATCAAAGTAAACCAATTGCCAGTTAATTCCAAAAGAACGAAAACAGGAAAATAACAAAACAAGACAGAAAGATATTTTATGCAACAAGAGTTGCAGATAGTTGATGAAAAACAACAATTAATCTAGTTTAATCAATAGCTAAGCCAGCTTTAACAAGTATATTCTTTATACTGGGCAATGAAAAATGTTAAAGCACAAGCTTTAGTAAATTTTCCAATGGAAGAACCCAAGGGGGAAGAGAGAGAGAGGGCACCATTGTGTGCGTCTTTCCTGAGTGAGTTTGCCCATAAGCAAATATAGAAACGTTAAATCCATCCAAAGCTGATTGCACCAGTGGCTGTACATCACTGAACAGCTCAGCTGCACAGAAATACCTCAATAAGAATTTTTCTAAGGCATTTCAATAGTCTAATTATTAAATCATGTGTGACTAAGGAGGGAATATAAAAAAATTAACTTATAAAATGATTGAGAAAGATGATTAAAGAAAATTTTATGTCACCTTGTCCAACATGAGGTCCATAAACTCGGTCAAATTCAAAATCCTTCTTGGGGTTGGAGATGGAATCATCACGGGTATTGACACGAATAGTGCAATCATCAGGAAATTCAACAACTGAATGACCTTCGTCTTCAAATAATGGCCTCGTGCGGCAAAATACCTTTATGTTTCCTGAAACAAACAATCTAGTTTCTCAAACATGATAAATACAAAAACAAAGAATCTATGAGAAGCAGATCTTAGAATAAATACAGAAAATATTGTAAGGATAAAAGCTTTTGTGTGCATAGAGTATGTGCAAATCTCTGCATTTGTGTGTCTGCTAGAGGCAGAGAGAGAAGAAGACAGACAGATAGATAGACAGATAGACAGAGAGAGAGAAAGAGAGATGGTAAATCAAAAAATGAGTACCTTTGGACGTCAACAAGTCATTGAACAATCTTTTCTTTTCATTGATCAGTGGAGATATTCTAGCTTCAGTTTCGATGGCAACTTGATCTGACATTTAAATTTAAGTAAAAACTTAAAACCACTAGCAGAACCCAACAACAATACAAGCTAGAGAGACAGTAGACAAGATAGTGCAGGGAGTGACAATTAGAGAAACAAAATCATTGCATGTGTTTCATAAGTATGTTATTTCAGCATGGAATAATATCCACCATAATTGCTCTGTTACACTTCACGGAAATGTTCTCCAATATCCATTTCAAACATAGTATCCCAATAGACATGAGCTTAGATATGTAGTCTCATTCAATTCAAAATCTCAAACCAAACATAGTCCTTAATTTGGGGAAAAAAATTCATAATTTTAGCATGGACGATACGAGTGACTTGGGTATATACCTAGCTTACGGGTTTTCTCAGCAAGAACACCGAGATAACGTGTAACTCGGTCAAGCTTTGCATTAGAGTACTCCTGCAGATCACTTGCTTCTTGCCTCAATCCCAAGTAATCTTCTTTTGCTAGCTGTCAAAATAATGTGAAACAAGTATTAGGAATTCATGAAACAAGTGCATCATACTATAGTCAAATCAACCATCTGACCCCAATGTAATCTTACAGAAAAGAGCAAAGTACTAAAGCTCAAAGAATGTCCCCAAGATAAATTTGCAACTCTTGATCTACCTTGATATCGATATAACCTAAAATAGAAAAAAGGGGTCTCCAATACATCTACCAGCACATGTGATTCCAGCACTCAGCAAAAGCTGAACAATTTGCCAGAGACATCTTGCATTCCAGGTCACTATGTGTGGAAAGGTTTAAATCAAGAGGTACCTCGATATTTCACTCACAATTTCTTTTTTCTTTTCTTTCTTTTGAATTCCAATTTTCAAAAATCTGATACTCAATCTGCATGTATAACTAGACTTGCAAATAGTATAGCTTGCGTAAAGTATGGTTAAAAAAAGTTATTAACAGAAATCATCCTGATATTACAGAATCTTGGACACTTAAATTAGAAAGAAGAAAATTAGATTCTTTAAATAGTTATCAAACAGAATGAACTTCTTGAGACGTGCACTAATTTGAGACAACTAACTTTTCAACCATCAGTTGGTAACCACGGTAGTTTTCAGCACTTCCCAATATAGTTAACCAGAGTTCACTGCCAAACTTTTACTGACTGTTGTCCCACTGAAAGCCCGCAAAAAAGAAAAACTTGTCACTACCCACCCAATAAAAAGCCCACACAAATCACCTAAATGCAAATGTTTTGGTTGCAGTAATGTGCATTAAACAAAGGCAGAGCAAAATTCAATATTAACCCTGAGAAACCTACCCGAGTAGGATTGGATCACCAAGCAAGCTCTGGTGCCAATGGACGACAGTTCTAAACTACCTTAAAGAAATAAGGTCATACCTCGTTGTTTCACTTACAATGCCTCAAAGTCCTCAAGGACCTCAACTAATCTACTTCTTCACAACTCCGGCATAAATTCAAATTCACCCCTCCAACTCAAAAGTTTCAAAAACCAACATTTGCAGACTAATGATATACTCCATGTCTCAAAGGCCAACAAAATCAAACAGTCTAGCAGTATCAAACTAAAGACTTCCAGTCCTCCACCAAGGAGAAGCTAGTCCTAACCAAAAGTATAACCCTAAACTGCAATTGAACTTAGTTAAGAACATTAAAATAGCATTTTCCTATTTCCTGAATAAATTCTTTTCGAAACATAATTGCCTCTCACATTGAAGAAAATAAGTCTGTAACAAATTATTCACTTCTTAACATCACTGTCACACTCAAACTCACTAATCACTACACACATTGCCCTTAACACCACCAAATCAAACCATCAGCCTACAAACTCAATCAATAATAATAAACACACTACCTTAAGTTTATCCTTCAATCGCTGAACCTTAGTGGCAAGCGCCTGCCGTGAAATCTCCGGAGAATGCGGCGAAACGGACGTGGCAGATATGGAGTAGCGCCGAACCAGAGGTGCAACAGCTGGCCGCTGGTCCTCGGGGCGGTCGAACGGCGACGTCGAGGATGACGACGACGACGTCTTCCTCGGCTCGAAGCCACTCACCTCCCAGTTCCACCGGTTCTTGTTCTCCGCCATTACTAAACCAAAACCCTACTTCACTCACAACCAAATTTCAGAGCTAAAATTTCAAAAGACTGTCTCTAGAGATCGTCATCCAATCTTTTTGCTTTGCTTTTGTTTTTGCTTTGGCCCTGTAATGTAATAAAATGAAGGGTGGAGAGAGAGTGACGATGAGAACGACGCCGTATTGGAAATGGCGGATTGATATAGGAACACTCAACGGCTGTTTGGGACACAAGTAATTTGTGCTCAGTATTACTTCACGATTCGCTTTCTGTGAATGAGTTTTTTTCCTAATATTTGTTTTTCTTTAGATAAGGAAGCGCGTGCTACGTGAGGATGCGCGTGGGGGTGCAGGTGGTTGTTTGTATGATGAGCTGGCAATGGGATAGTGTCGGGTTGGCACGGCCTGATTGGGTCCTGGACTCCTGGCCAAAAAACCCGAACCCATTAGATTATATCTTTGTTTCTTTCTTTAAATGAAGACATGGTTTTGGTAGTACCCGCCTCATTTATTCAAACTCAACTTTTTAGCAAATGAAATTGAACAGTGGCAGTTGAAGTTTGGTTAGGTCCATTGCGTGACACTTTTAAAACGGGCACCACGTTTTTGGATAGTTTAGCCAAGCAAATTGGTCACAAGTTTTGTAATATTATCGATAAAGTATCATAATTGGGCTTTGAAGTGTGAATTATAAACTCTAAGGTACTTTATAATCTTTTATGATTTATATAGTTTTTAATCATGCCATACAATATTCAAAAAACAAGAAGAACCCTTATTGCTAAAAGCAAATCACAAAGCCAACATTTGACTACCTTTATAACCCATCATAATTATCATAGGTTATAATAATACTAATGATAAAAAATAGAGAAGTCCATAAATATACATATATTTTTTTCACTATAAAATTTTGGTTTGTGTAAAGAAAGCTAAACAAGTTAGGTATGTTTGAAGCATGAATGTATTTGATCGACATGGCAAAATTATATTGTTGCTAATTCTGCATTCGAGTGGTAGTACTTATGACCAGCATATGCAGCAACCCCACCGGCCAGCTCACTTTACTTTGCAGAAAATCTACTACGCCAAATTGTAAGCAACCTCAACGTTGCCGGGAAAAATATCATCTCCGACCACATTTATAACAATGCAGCAAAAATATCATAAAATTACATCACCCCTATGCGAACCATGTCGCAATATTATATGATTATTTTCGATGAAACTGGTGTCAAAATATAATCAAGCAATAACGTCATTCTTGTACTAGCATTAGACTTCAAACATTCTCATCAACATCACACGGTATCGTTGTAATAGTTCGTCGAGGTTAACCTCAGATAATCTTCTTGTTCAAAGGGATAGGGGTTTCCAGTTTGATCCTTATACATAAGTTAGTGGGGTAATTGTCAGGTTTTTATGTTTGAGGGGGTGTAAAGAGAGCTTTTTAGGTGCTACAGCCTTAATAGAAGTTACCAAAGTGGGTTGTCAATGTTAACCTAATCATTTTTTCTAAGTGCTCTGAAATGTTGAAACCTCAGAGGTGGTCAATGTAATTAACTCTTTAATTAACAGTTAAAAATTAATTACCTCCTCTCATATTTGCTAAATCATCATTTGAATGTCAACTATCACCAACTCTAAAAGTTTACAAAACTTCATCAGGAACAACCCTGTAAATGGATTCCATTAATTTTTCGTTAAAAATTGTATCAAATGTCTATTTTACCCTTATTTTAAAAATTAATCAACAATCTAAACCTTTAACTGATCTTTGGTATCATTATTTTTTTTTTTTTTTTTTTTTTTTGTAATGTAGGTGGTCTCATTTTCAACCAAATATCAATAATAATAGAGCAAATGACATGTTCCCACTCGAGGTTTGACAAAATTTTTAGTTGGTACCCCTGATTGCATTTATTCCAATTATCACCCTTAAACTAACATTGTTTCCTTTATTTTAACAGTTGAAGGTTAAAATAGTCATTTTTTATTTTTATTTTTTGCAAATCTCTCAAACCCACTGTCGCCTCTTCTTTTTCTTCTAACCATTCTTCTTTTTCTTTTATCACACTCAAAATGTGCCCATACTCATAGATTAAACCTTTTCTTCTTCTTCATTTACCTTTTTCTTCTAAGTGGGTATTTTATGGGCATTCTTCTTCTTCTTTTGCTGCTTTGGCTTTATCTTCTGAGGCACATTTTAGCCAAAGCAGAAGAAGAAGAAGAAGAATGGGTAGAAGCAATGCTCTAAAAACCGGACTAGGCCTTGACCCGGTCAATGTCCAGATTCACGACCGGTTAAACTGTTAGTTTCTCGGTGGTCCAAAAAGTTTAAATTCTTACAAACACACCCCTAAAAACTACATTTCAGTCCCTGCATATTTAAAATAAAGCAAATATACCCTTGTTATCTGTTTTGGTTTTGACTTTTCCAGCCAAATTTTGGCTGATTCCGACAGCAAAAATTCAATCTGACACCACCACCTGAACCATCAAACATTTACTCTACAAAGCCCCTCTAACCTTAGAACTTAGTAGCCCCCGTTTACCGATCGTGACTCACGAACACCGCCGCGATTGGGTTGATATTTTCGGCTAAATTTCGGCTTATTATGGCCTCCAAAATTCAATCAAACACCACCACCTAAACCACCGACCTCCGCTCTACAAAACTCCTCTAACCCCGACACTTGTTAGCCTCCTATTCGCTAATTGTGACTCCCATATTGGGTTGAATTTTTTGGCCAAATTCTGGCTTATTCCGGTGTTGAAAATTCAATCCATCACTACCCCTTGAACCACTAGCCTATACTCTACAAAGGTCCTCTAACTCTAGTACTTGATAGCTCCTCGTTCGCCCGTGATCAAAATAGGGATTTGAGTAAATAGTGAAATTGAAATCTTGGGTCGAAAAAGAGGCGGTCGACAATTAGACCGGTCTAGTCGTAGAAGAAAAAGAATAGTTGGCAGTGGGTTTGAGAGACTTGCAGAAAATAAAAAGTATATGACCATTTTAACCTTCAACTATTAAAATAAAGGAAAGAGTATTAGTTTAAGGAAGGAAATCTAGAGTAAATGCAACCAGTGGTATCAACTGAGATTTCGCCAAACCACTGGTGGGAACATGTCATTTGCTCATAACAATACTTCAAAATCAACAAGCCAACCACCTTCCTCATTGTAACTATACATTATGTTATAAAATTTACATAATTTGCACCACACGAACCCAGGAAGCGCTTCAAATTCAAGACTCAAAGCTCCAAACTTTCTTCATTTATTTAATACAAATGGTGGGAAACAATCAAATCAAAACACAAAAACAACAATTGCAAAAAACAACACAAAATGAAAAAGTTCCAACACTGAACACAAAAAACTAAAATCAATGTTTTCTATACTGCAGGATTTCTGCCAAACTTTTAGGGTGGTTGGTTTTAATTTTTATCTTTTATTTTTGTTGTGTAGGCTGAAGATTGAAAGATTAAGATAACATGAATGTAAAATGGAAAAAAAATAAAATAGAAAACAAATCAAAATTTCAATTTTGTAAGGAGATGCAATATGGGTTGTGTCCGGTGTGTATCAAAGATATATATGAAGAGTGATTTGCGAAAACCCAAATATTTTTGGGTCCTTTAAGCTTGATTGTGTTATGAGCAAGAAGAATAAAAGAATACTAAATTGTTTTGATACAATCATTAGCCCCTGTTCGTTTAACTTTTTGAAACTCTATTCAATTATCTTGTTTAAAGTAAACAGTAAAAAACGTGTTTGTTTTAATATTGACGGAATTTAATTCAAAATCCAATCATATTCTATTCAACTCAAAACAATTAACAATTATATTTCACAATAAAAGTTTATAAATAAACAAAAACATCCTCACCCACCCAAGCCACTGTCGGCTGCCAACAATCGCCATCAACCGCTGTCTTTGCAATCGACATCTCACTTAGCTACTGGAATCATCACTGTTCCCAACCTTGATGTATATCTTTCCACCCAGCACCCTGGCCATTGTCGGTTGTCGACGCCGGAATGACGCACGATCAGCCGAATCTGGCTGATCGTGCGCCGATCTATAGCCAAATCAGATTTTGGTTGTTAACAACCACCATAAATCTGGTCGTTTCTGGTCAAATACACGGTGGATCTAATCACTAGATTGTCAGATCTAGTCAATTGTGCACCATTCTGGTGACTGTCGGCTGCTAGAAATCGTTTAGGTGGTTGGGGGCGTTTTTGTTAAATTATAAACTTTTTTTTGTGGGGGTTGGGGGGGGGGGGGGGGGGGGGGGGGGGGGAGGGGTGTTTAGCTAAATTACCAAATGTAAAAGGCTAAAGATAATCTAAATGTTTTCCAAAAAATGTACCAAACACATTTTCAGAATCATATCCTATTTGATTTAATTATATTATATCATATTCAGAATAGCATATTTCAAATAATGTACCAAATAGGCCCAAGACTTTTGTCCAATAAATACATGTCTCAATCTTACATTGTTCCTTCTTTTTATTTATTTATTTACAATTTGAAATTGGGATAAAATGAATATAGATGAGAGATAGGTTTTATTTTAGTCAATTGAGTTAAAAGTGAAAGTCTTGCCTTGGTCAAAGTATCATAATTCTAACAGAGTTTCGGCGAGGTTTGATTAAAATGTGAATAACCCAAACCAATAAAGCTAAACTCAAACTCGATTTTAACAAATGGATTTTCTATCATGCTATAAGGTCATATCCAATTTTATCAAGCCTATATGTAAAAAGTGGTACAGATTATTTAAGCCCACTCAATCTTTTCTTAAGCCCCAATAGCAGTTGTTGAAAATAATATATATTTTTTAACTTGTAATTACTAAAAAATACATTGTATCTTGGAATAAAATAATATATATAAGTAAAAAATATTTTAAAAATTATTTAAGCTATTACTAGGGCTTGGAAAGATATTGAGTGGGGCTTAAATCAAACAACTCGTATAAAAATCCTTCTTATAAATTTTGAATATGTATAGAAGCATTATTAAAATAAAAAATCTTAAGACAAATTCGTAGTGATTGATTTATTGCAATCTAATAGATATGATGGAACTTGTTGATGCAAGAATTACACCAAATAGAGCGATTTGATTAACCTTAGTGAAACCGGAACCGATGTGTGCATGATTAAAGATAACCAGCAATATAATGAATGTAAAAATAGTAATGTAAAGGACACGAAAGGTTTTTAAAATGGTTCGGTAAGTTT